GAGACAGGGTTTCACCCCATGTTGGTCAGGCTGGTCTTGAACTCCCGACCTCAGGTGATCCACCTGCCTCAGCCTCTAAAAGTGCTGGGATTACAGGCATGAGCCACTGTGTCTGGCTGATTTCTAATTTTATTCCATTGTGGTCTGAGAGAGAGTTCTTGCTATAATTTCATTTTCTTAAATTTGTTGAAAATTGTTTTGTGGCCTATCATATGGTCTATCTTGGAGAATGTTGCATGTGCTGATGGATAGAATGTGTATTCTGCAGTTGTTGGGTAGAATGTTCTGTAAATATCTGTTAAGTCCATTTGTTCCAGGGTATTGTTTAAGTGTTTATTTGTTGACTTTCTCTCTTGATGACCTCTCTAGTGCTGTCAGTGCAGTACTGAAGTCCCCACTGTTATTGTGTTGCTATCTCATTTCTTAGGTCTAGTAGTAATTGTTTTATAAATTGGGGAATGCCAGTGTTAGGTGCATATATATTTAGGGTTATGATATTTTCCTGTTGGACTAGTCCTTTTATCATTATATAATGTCCTTCTTTGTCTTTTTTAACTGCTGTTGTTTTAAAGTTTGTTTTGTCTGATATAAAAATAGCAACTCCTGCTCACTTTTGGTGTCCATTTGCATGGAATATCTTTTCCACCCCTTTACCTTAAGTTTATGTGAGTCCTTAGGTGTCAGGTGAGTCTTTTGAAGACAGCAGGTACTTGGCTGGTAAATTCTTACCCATTCTGCCATTCTAAGTCTTGTAAATGGAGCATTTAGGGCATTTACATTTAATGTTAGTATTGAGACATGAGGTACTATTCTATTCATTGTGCTGTTTGTTGCCTGAATACCTTGGGTTTTCTTTCATTGTGTTGTTGTTTATTAGGTTCTTGAGATTTATGCTTTCTGGAGATTCTGTTTTGGTGTATTTCAAGGATTTGTTTCAAGATTTAGAGCTCCTTTTAGCAGTTCTTGTAGTGCTGGCTTGGTAGTGGCAAATTCTCTTAGCATTTGTTTCGCTGTAAAAGACTGTATCTTTCCTTCATTTATGAAAACTTAGTTTTGCTGGCTACAAAATTCTTGGCTGATAATTTTTTGGTTTAAGGGGGCTAAAGATAGGACCCTAATCTATTCTAGCTTGTAGGTTTTTTGCTGAGAAATCTGCTGTTAATCTGATCGGTTTTCCTTTATAGGTTACCTGATGTTTTTGCCTCATACCTTTTAAGATTCTTTTCTTTGTCTTGACTGCAGATAACCTGATGACTATGTGCCTAGGTGGTGATCTTTTTGCAACATATTTCCCAAGTGTTTTTTGAGCTTCTTGTATTTGGATGTCTAGATCTCCAGCAAGGCTAGGGAAGTTCTCCTCAATTATTCCCTCAAATATGTTTCCAAACTTTTAGATTTATCTTCTTCCTTGGGAACACTAATTATTCATAGGTTTGTTCATTTAACATAATCCAAAACTTCTTGGAGGCTTTGTTTATTTTTTAAATTGTTTTTCCTTTGTCTTTGTCAGATTGGGTTAACTTGAAAGCCTTGTCTTCAACCTTTGAAGTTCTTTCTTCTATTTGTTCAATTCTATTGGTGAGATTTTCCACTGCATTTTGCACTTCTCTAAGCATGTCCTTCATTTCCAGAAGTTGTGATTGTTTTTTATTTATCCTACCTATTTCACCAGAAATTTTTCCATTCATGTCTTGCATCATTTTTTTTTTTTTTTTTTATTTCTTTAAGTTGGACTTTACCTTTTTCTGGTGCCTCCTTGATTGGCTTAAGAGTCAACTGTCTGAATTCTTTTTCTGGCAATTCAGTGATTTCATCTTGGTTTGGATCCATTGCTGTTGAGCTAGTGTGATCTTTTGGGGCTGTTAAAGAACCTTGTTTTGCCATGTTAATAGAATTGTCTTTCTGATTCCTTCTCATTTGTGTAGACTATGTCAGAGGGAAGATCTGGGACTCAAGGCTGCTGTTCAGATTCTTTTGTCCCACAGGGTGCTCCCTTGATGTGGTGCTCTTCCCTTTCCCCCAGGGATGGGGCTTTCTGAGAGCTGAACTGTAGTGATTATTTCTCTTCTGGATCTAGCTACCCAGCAGAGCTACTGGGTTCTGGGCTGGTACTTGGGAGTATCTGCAAAGAGTCCTGTGATGTGATCTGTCTTCAGATCTCTTGGTAATGGATACCAGTACTTGTTCCAGTGGAGGTAGCAGGGGAGTGAAGCATACTCTGTGAGGGTCCTTGATTGTATTTTTGTTAAGTGTGCTAGTTTTGTGTTAGCTGGCCTCCAGCCAGGGGGTGGCACTTTCAAGAGCACATCAGCTGTGGTAGTATATAGGCAGGATCAGGTGGTGGATGGGGCCGTGGAACTCCTACAAAAATATGTCCTTTTTCTTCGGCTACAAGGGCCAGTAGAGAAAGACCATCAGGTGGGGACAGGGTTAGGTGCCTCTGAGCTCAGACTCTTGTTGGGCCGGGCTGGCTGTAGCTGCTGTGGGAGATGGGTGTGTGGATCCTAGGCCAATGGTCTCACTCTAACCGTGCCCCCACAACAGCACTGAGTTTATGTCCAGGCAGCTGGTTAGCAGGGCTAGGAACTTGCCCCAGGCTAAAAGCCTCCCAGCTGAGAAAGCAAGCCGACTGATTGTTCCTTGGCTGTCCCATGGACCCTGCAGCAGCAATCCACTTCCTTCAAAGGGTCTGTGGATTCCCTTGGCTTTCCTGGCATGTTCCTGTGGTAGTTCTTGGAGCAGAAGTTCATGATGTGGGTCTCCATGCACTGCTCTCTCTGTTGAAGTGGGAGCTGCAAGTTAGTTTTGCCTCCGATTTGCCATTTTCCTGCCATCCCCAAGATGTAGTCTTTTATCCCTTACCCTGTCCAACCCATCCCTCCAAGTCCCCCAAGTTCATTGTACAACTCATGCCTTTGCATCCTCATGACTTAGTTCCCACTTATAGGTAAGAACATACAATATTTGGTTTTTAATTCCCGAGTTACCTCACTCAGAATAACGGCATTCAGCCCCATCGAAGTTGCTGCAAAAGATATTATTTTGTTCCTTTTCACGGCTGAGTAGTATTCCATGGTGTGTGTGTGTGTGTGTGTGTATACGTATGTATATGTGTGTGTGTGTGTATATATATTACATTTTCTTTATCCAGTCATTGGTGGATGGGTGCTTAAGTTGGTTCCATATCTTTGCAATTGTGAATTGTGCTGCTGTAAACATGTGTGTCCAAGTCTTTTTAACATAATGACTTCTTTCCTTTTGGGTAGATCCCCAGTAGTGGGATTGCTGGATCAAATGGTAGTTCTCCTTTTAGTTCTTTAAGGAATCTCTAAACTGTTTTCCATTGTGATTGTACTAATTTACATTCTCATGGTGATTTTATTTTACTTGCGATGGAAGCCACGGTAGTGTCTCAAGCAGGAGAGTGAAGAAAAATGATATATGTCAATTTGGCTGCTCTTTGAAAAATGGATTATAGGGAGATAAGAACGGATGCAAGGAGATAAGTTCTGAGGCTTCTTCAGCTGTCTAGTAGAGAGATGATGGTGATCTTTGCTGGCGTAATGGAAATAAAGTTGGAGATAAGTGGATAGACTTAGAACATATTTTGAAAGTAGAATTGATAGGATTGGCAGAGAGGGTAGATGTTGGGTGAGGAGAAGGAAGGAATCAAGGAGACTTCTATGTTTTTGGTTTGAGCAGCTGGGTGAAGGGAGTGGCATTTCCTGGGAAGAATAAAGGAATAACATGTTTTGAAGTGATGATATCTAGAATTAATTACAGATGAATAGTTGCAAGAAAAAGGATAGCATGATAAATATAATATGCCTCTTGAAATCTCTATTGATGGTTCTGCTTTCTTTACTAGGTATTAATTTGATTTTTTTTCTGTTTTTACCATTCTAAAAATTATTTAATTTTTTTTGTCATTGCATAGTAGGAGTGTACATTTTTAGGGTACATGGGATGTTTTGATAAAGGCATGCATTGTAAAATAAGGTATTGTGGAGAATGGGATATCCATTCCCTTAAGCATTTGTCCTTTGGGTTACAAACAATTCAGTTACATTCTTTATTTTAAAATATACAATTAAATTATCATTGACTATAGTCACCTTATTGTTCTATCAAATAGTAGGTCTTATTCTTTTGATTTTTTTTGACCCATTAGCCATTGCCACCTCCCTCCCCGAGTCCCCTAGTACCTTAGTAGGTAATCATTTGAGATGGATACTTAGGGTTGGGCAGTGCATTCTCTGGCTTACACATGACCTGAGGACCTCATAAAAGGGGCTGTGCCCCTGGACCTTGAGCTTTCCAGTACAGCAGGGGTGTAACATCATTCATAAGTAGGTTAGAATAAGCTGACCACTTCTTCAATATGTTGAAGGCCCCCTGTATCCCTCTGTGTGATTCATTTCCCATGCAAGAGTAAACACTATCCTGAGTATTGTGATTTTTTTTTTAGCACTTTCATGCGTTCCTTTCTATTGTTACCATATATGACAGATCCCTAGACAATACTGCTTTTTTTCTAAATGACATCTGATGTATGTATTTTGCAACGTACTTTTTTTTTTTAATTTAAAATAATCTTTCTGAGATTCCTCCTTGTGGACCTATGTAGCCCTAATTCACTTATTAGGGTTGTGTAGTGTTCCATTCCACATATGTAGCACCATTTGTTTATTCATTTTCCTGCTTATGGACAGCCAGGCTCTTTCTAACTTTTTATTATTATAAGCAGTGCTTATTACAAATACTCACTTTTCCAACATCCCTCCTAACTTCCAAGCTTAAGCTAGAAATTTACAGAAGACTAATTTGAGAATGCTGTATAGCAAATATCTCCTTCTTTTCATGGATTAAATGTGGGAAAATGTCTAAGGAAATTCCTTTGCTGAAATAAGAATTTTGGTAGAGAGAAGTGGAGAAAAGTGGGTCACTGAAACTGCCATTGTTCACAGTCGTCCTAAATTATCATTAAAACAATTCCTCAGGCACCAGCCAAAGAGGTCTCTGCTGCTATCTGGCCTTTCAGGTTTGGATATGACAATGAAGGGTGGTCTAGTCTAGAAAGATCAGCTCACCTTCTCAATGAAACAGGTAAGTCTTTCTGGAATTAGTTCCAGGTTTTGAGAAACTATTATTGTTACTTTTATTTTCCGCAGGGTCATAAGCCATAACTTAACACAGGTATTAAATTAAATTTATGACCAGCAGATGGTCATAAACTCACCTCAAAAATGCTCTACTTTGGCAGGCAGCTGCAGGGGGACTGAGCTTCTGTAACCACATCTGTCTTTGTTTGAGAGCAATTAATTCAGGTGATTCTGAGCAATTCCTCATACTGAGTATCTGCAGGGGATTCGTGTTGTGTTGTTCTTAGGGATGCCCCTGCTAGTAGCTCCTGTCACCTAGGGACCCACTGCTGGGGACCAGAAAACTGTTGGATCAAAAGGCAGAATGGGTTGCAGGGAAAAGAAAGAGAGATCAGACTGTTACTGTGTCTATGTAGAAAAGGAAGACATAAGAAATTCCATTTTGATTTATACTAAGAAAATTATTTTGCCTTGAGATGCTGTTAATCTGTAACTTTAGCCCCAACCCTGTGCTCGCAGAAACATGTGATGTATGGAATCAAGATTTAAGGGATCTAGGGCTGTGCAGGATATGCCTTGTTAACAATATGTTTACAGGCAGTATGCTTGGTAAAAGTCATCGCTATTCTCCATTCTCGATTAGCCAGGGGCACAATGCACTGTGGAAAGTCACAGGGGCCTCTGCCCAAGAAAGCCTGGGTTTTGTCCAAGGTTTCCTCCCACTGAGACAGCCTGAGATATGGCCTCATGGGAAGGGCAAGACTTGCCTGTCCCCCAGCCCAACACCCATAAAAGGTCAATGCTGAGGAGGATTAGTAAAAGAGAAAGGCCTCTTGCAGTTGAGATAAGAGGAAGGCCTCCATCTCCTGCATGTCCCTGGGAACAGAATGTCTCGGTGTAAAACCCGATCATACATTCGTTCTATTCTGAGATAGGAGAAAACTGCCCTGTGGCTGGAGGTGAGATATGCTGGCAGCAATGCTGCTCTGTTACTCTTTGCTACACTGAGATGTTTGGGTGGAGAGAAGCATAAATCTGGCCTACATACACATCTGGGCACAGTACCTCCCCTTGAACTTATTTGTAACACAGATTCCTTTGCTCACATGTTTTCCTGCTGACCTTCTCCCCACTATCATCCTGTTCTCCTGCCACATTCCCCTTGCTGAGATAGTGAGAATAGTAATCAATAAATACTCAGGGAACTCAGCAACTGGGGCCTGTGCAGGTCCTCCATATGCTGAGCACTGGTCCCCTGGGATCAGTATTCTTTCTCTATACTTTGTCTCTGTGTCTTATTTCTTTTCTCAGTCTCTCATCCCACCTTATGAAAAATGCCCACAATTGCTTCCAACAGGCCTAGGGTCAATTTGATTTTTTCAATGCTCCAGGGTGCTCATTTTTGTGTGAAGCATCTTTGAAATGTGAGAGTGTTTTTGGTTCTTAGACCAGCTACGGGTGTATGGAGCAGGATAAGTAAAGGAATAACCTGTTCTGGTTATTCTTAATGATAAGCATACCTCCTGAGAAATGTCTTAGTATCTATATGTATATAATACCACTGAGACATTTCTTTGTCCCTTAGCCCTTTTTTAGTCTGATTGCAGGCTTCCAAGGCACTCCTGGCCAAGATCTAGAAACGCCAATCAACTTAGTTCTGGGTCAGTACCATGGAGCTATCTGTCCTGGAATAAAATGCTATGGTGCACCGTTCTCTTGTTTCTGAACATAAATTGGATATTTGAGAAATGCGTTAAGATTATTTGAAATTTCAGGAATGATGTTGAGCACATTTGAAAATTTTTATCCTTCTCGGTAGTTCCTGGAGGTGTTTCACATTTTAATTGCGTTCTAAACATGGAAAAATTCCTTTAGAGCTCAGATTTGAGCCACTTCCTTCCAGTGACTTATTAAAAATTACTTTGTTTTTGGGTTAACAGTAAAGAAAAAAAGGTTAAGGGTCAAGAATAAAATGTTGCTAATTGTTTTTTGCCTTGCTGTGATTCATCACTGTATGCTACTTTTTTTTTTTTTTTTTTTTTCCTGAACAGGTGCAGATTTCATAACAATTTTGGAGAGTGATGCTTCTAAGCCCTATATGGGGAACAATGACTTAACCATGTGGCTAGGGGAGAAGTTGGGTTTCTATACAGACTTTGGTCCAAGCACAAGGTATCACACTTGGGGGTGAGTATACACTTGAGAATTAATCCTGAAGATAGTCCTGAAAGGCTAGGCTGCATAGACTTGGAGTGGCAATTTGATATTTTCATACCTTTGGTGAATATGCCCCAGTGATGCTTCTTGTGGGTTGAGGAGGTGCTGGAGATATGCACATTCTGTAATTTTTCAAATGGTTTTTCTATGACTGGATATTTCCAGTTCTTCACCATTATAAATCTAGGAGCTGAGGTCACAGCACCAAGCATGTCTGGCCTGGATGCTGTCCTCATGGAGCTTACTTTCCAGTGTAAGACAGAAAATCAACATGTACACACAAAAAATAAATAAGGTACTTCACAATCATAATAAGTGCTGTGTAGAAAAGAAACCACTGAGGGAGAATAACTGGGTAGGCATTGGCCGTGGGGATGTTACTATAGGCAGGGTGATCAGGAAGGTCTCTGCGAAGATGTCATTGTGAGCAGGAGCCAGGATCAGCCTTGGGAAGAGCTGAGGGAACAGTCTGGGTGAAGACTGAGGCAGGATCCATCTTGGTGTGCCTGGAGCATGGGGGGCCAAAGTGCAACTGGTAAGAAAGGAAGTCAAGGATGGGTACCTGATCATAGAGGGCTCCATTTTATCCAGTTGTGATTGGAAGCCACTGGAGGATTTTAAACAGATAGTGATCTGGAAGAACAGATTCTCAGGGACAAGAGTGGGAGCCAGGAGGCAGAAATGATAGGTGGAATAGCACAGATGAGAGATGACAATGGGAACAGCGGAGATGGTGACAAGAGGACAAACTCAGGAACTATTTTAGAATAGAGCCAACAGAACTTACAACAGTTTAGATGTCAGTGGAGGAGAAGGAAGAATCAAGGGCGATGTCTAGGTTTTTGACCTGAGTACCCGCTAAGAGATGATGCCCTTTAATGGAATGGGAACCCTCAGGAAAGTTGTAGGTTTGTGTTAAGTGTGAGATACCCCAAGACAGTCAAGTCATGCCCAGTAGGCAGTTGGTTATGGCCTGGAGGGCTGAGAAGGACAGGCCAGGCTGGAGATGTACTTTCAGCTATCATCGTATAGAGACAGACCTGTCTCAGAGACTCCATGAAGGTGACAGAGAATGCATCTAGCTAGAGAAGAGAAGCCTACTAAGGACTGAGCTCTGTGGCTTAGAGTGAGGTGGAATGCCTTTTCATATGCCTATAGGACAGTTTTTCATTTCTAATTTTGTAAATTGTTACTCCATGTCCTAGTTGGCAAGACTGTACCTTCCCATATGTGTTGATTAATATTATGATTGTTTACGCAAATGTGTTGGCAGAGTAACTGCAAGTACAATGGGTTTTGTGTATTGTTAATGCTGCCCTTTTCATGTGTCCATAGCGCTTATTAAAACAGAGGTGATGGTGTTTCCTTAGTGACACAGTGAGACATGCTAACTAGCAGATGAAAGGATCTGACAAGTGGACTGCCATATAAGTCTCTGCCACATTGCTTTCAATGTTCCTTGGTGGGATGTGTGCAGTGGGACACATCCCTCTTTTTTTTTTTTACTTATTTATTTATTTATTTATTATTATTATACTTTAAGTTCTAGGGTACATGTGCATAACGTGCAGGTTTGTTACATATGTATATTTCTGCCATGTTGGTGTGCTGCACCCATCAACTCGTCAGCACCCATCAACTCGTCATTTACATCAGGTATAACTCCCAAGATGCAATCCCTTCCCTCACCCCCCCCATGATAGGCCCCGGTGTGTGATGTCCCCTTCCCCGAGTCCAAGTGATCTCATTGTTCAGTTCCCACCTATGAGTGAGAACATGCGGTGTTTGGTTTTCAGTTCCTGTGATAGTTTGCTGAGAATGATGGTTTCCAGCTGCATCATGTCCCCTACAAAGGACACAAACTCATCCTTTTTTATGGCTGCATAGTATTCCATGGTGTATATGTGCCACATTTTCTAATCCAGTCTGTCACTGATGACATTTGGGTTGATTCCAAGTCTTTGCTATTGTGAATAGTGCTTG